AAGGCCACATAGGAGGGCCTCATATTCGGCCTCATTGTTGGAGACTTTGAAGGAGAAGCGGATGGCATAGTAGGCCCTGAAGCCCTCGGGAGTAATGAGGACTACCCCTCCCCCGCATGCTTTGGTCGCGGAGGAACCATCAGTGTAGAGGGTCCACCAGTCGTCCGAGGTAGCCGAGGGCTCCCCGTCCGTGGCTGCCCTTGCGGTACACTCCGTCACAAAGTCCGCCAGGGCTTGGCCCTTGATGGCAGGCCTTGGGCGGATGTCAATGTTGTACTGGCTCAAGAAGATAGCCCATTTAACCATGCGGGAGGAGCTGGTGGGGCTCCTCATGAGGGCGCCGAGGGGTTGATGAGTGAGGACCTGAACCGGGTGAGCCTGAAAGTAGTGGCCCAACTTTTTGACAGTCCAAACGATGGCTAGCACCGTTTTTTCCACAGGGGAGTACCTGAGCTCGGCCTCCCTTAGGGTCTTGCTAACGTAGAAGATGGCATGTTGGATGCCGTCTTCCTCCCGGATGAGCACAGAGCTGATGGCCGCCGGGCTAACCCCAAGGTAGAGGTAGAGGGTCTCCCCTACCTTGGGTTTGGAGAGCACAGGAGGTGAAGATAGATATCTTTTGAGCTCGTCGAAAGCCCCCTGGCATTCTGGAGTCCATAGAAAGCCAGCCGTCTTCCTCATGATCTGGAAGAAGGGTAGAGATTTTTCCGTCGATTTAGATAGGAAGCGGTTGAGGGCTGCCAGGCGGCCCGTCAACCGTTGAACTTCCTTCACATTGCGTGGGGGCTCCATGTTGATGATAGCCTGGATTTTTTCGGGATTGGCCTCAATACCCCTTCGGCTCACCATGTAACCCAAGAACTTGCCCCCTTGGACGCCGAAGGTGCACTTCTTCGGGTTTAGCCGAAGGTTGAATTTTTGCATGATGGCGAAGATTTCCCGGAGGTCGTCAGCATGGCTGGAAGATTGTTTGCTCTTGACGATCATGTCGTCAACATAGGCCTCCATGGTACGCCCTAGGACGGCTTGAAAGACCCGGGCCACCATCCGGGTGTAAGTGGCCCCCGAGTTCTTTAGGCCGAAGGCCATCACTAGGTAGCAGAAAATGCCCTCGGGAGTCATGAAGGCAGTTTTTTCGGCGTCTTCTTTCAGCCCTCGGCCTTCTTTCCTCTTGGTCGACGGCTCCGGTGATGGTGTCAACACGGAATTCCGTCTTGCTGACCTTCTTAGTGACCTGAAGATAGCAGGCGCGGGCAACTTTTTGGTTCCCCCGGGAGTAGCCAATGCCCCCCTCGGCGGGAAACTTGAGGCAGAGATGCCTCATGGAGATGATGGCTTCGAGGTCCTCGAGGGCTGGCCGGCCGAGGATGATCTTGTGAGCGCAGTCAATGTTGACGACGACGAACTCCACCTCGAGCTGGGCTCTATGGAGCCCGTCGCCGAAGATCACCGGGAGGGTTATTACCCCCTCGGAATCAATAGTGTCGCCGGTGAAGCCGGCAAGAGGGGTCTTAATGGACCGAAGGGACCCCCTCTCCAGGTGCAGCTGTCTGAAGGTGCTGAGGTACATTACATTGACGGAGCTGCCCGTGTCAATGTAAGTTCGGTGAATAATGGTGTCGTTTATCTCCGTCCGAATCACCAAGGCATCCCTGTGAGGAGAAGAAGTAGGAGGGAGATCTGCGTTGGTAAAGGTGATGGGTTCCTCCCTTAGTCGCTTTACCGGGGGCATATGAATGACTCCCCCCACGTAAAGCGATTGAGCCCACTTCTTTCGTTGGCTGGTGGAATCGCCCCCTGTATTGCCACCGGTGATCATGAGGATGTGGCGTTTCTTCTCCTGGTTGTGGGGGTACTCCTCCTCCTCTTCTTCCAAGTTTCCGATCTCCCTCTTCTTGCCGAGGGGGATGGTGTTCGGATTCACCCAGGCATTTACCTTCATATGGTGCCCTCGGGGAGGTCCCTGATGAGAAGGTCCCTCCTGCCGAGGGCTCTGGACAAACTGGGACAGGTCACCTGCCTGTATTAATCTCTCGATGGCCGTCTTCAGCTGATGGCAGTCATCGGTCCTGTGCCCCTGGTGCCGATGGAAGCGACAGTATGGGAACTGAGGGTTGATAGCGTGTACCTCCGGGGGTGCGCGAGAGTCGCGCTCAACGAGGCCCCTCTCCTCGGCAAAATCGAGGATGATGCTGACGGGGTGCGTCAATGGTGTCCGAGGGCGGTCCAGGAGAATGGGCTGGGCCCAAGTCTTAGGGTTGCTCTTATAACCTCCCCCGGGCTTGGCTTAGCCTTGCCGAGGGCGATCATCGGAGGGTCCCGAAGTCTTGGGGCGATTTGGAGGAGCCCCCGGCCCTCGGTTATGCTTGTTGTCAGCCCTCGGGGGCTGCTGGTCCGGATGCTGGTGATACTTCTCCACCTCCTCGGCCTCAGCATATCGGTCCCCCCGCTGCAAGGCCCTTATGTAGTCGCGGGGGGGTTCAATGATGAGGCTCCTTGAAAAGTTGCCGGTGCGGAGGACGGTTTGTAGGAGGGCCAGGAGGGTCCCGTCATCAGCACCGTCGACCTTGTCGGCCTCCGTCCTCCAGCGCTCCAGGAAATCCCGAAGGGTCTCATCCTTCTTTTTGCGTATTGTTAGGAGGTGGGAGAAGTGCTTCCTTGTGCGACGTCTCCCGGCGAATTGTGTCAAGAATCGTTGGGCGAGTTCTTGCCACGAATCAATGCAGCCCTCGGGCAGCCTGTTGAACCATTCGTATGCTGGTCCCTCTAAGGTGGAGAGGAACCAGCGACACAAATATTCGTCTGATGCCCCCACCATCATCATGCTGTTCTGGTACTTGCTGTAGTGTTCCTGGGGGTCCGTTTTCCCGTTGTAGGGCTGTATGTGTTGCCCCCGGTATTTCTACGGGATCCTGGCCGCCAATACCCTTGGGGTAAATGGCGTCCGAGTCCGGAGCTGGATGACGGGTTCCCCGGAGCCCTCGGCCACCTTCTTCTGCAACTCCTCCATTTTGGCCATCATGGCCTCGTATTTGAGATCTGAGTGAGGGGTGGAGGTGGTGGCGTGAGCTTTGTTGGACTCCATTTCGTCAAGCCGACGCTGGAGGGCCGCAATAATCTCGTCCCGGGGATCCTTCGGGAGGGTCTCCGTCCCCTGCGAACGAACCCGGGCCGAGTGGACCTGGTTGATCTGGTGGCGGGCATCATCGGCATGAAGGGGTGCCTTGCCTTTGTCCCAAGGGGGACGCTCCTCGTCTGCCCTCGAAACAGATCCCCCGCTTTCCTGGGGCCTTTGGAGTGCTTTCCCCCCGAGGCGGTCTTGGACCCCTCGGCGGTCTGGCCCTCCTCCGAGCCGATTGAGGGCGGAAGTACGGGGCCTTTCCCTGTTTTCATTATGGCGGTCCCGGGACTGAACTTCCTGGGAGGATGTTTCTTGGGCCACCACCCCTTCGTTGTTTCTCACCCGAGGGGTGGGATTTTCGAAGGGGTGTGGCAGAGGGGGAAGATGATATTTTCCCCGATCTGAGGGTGAGCTGGAGCCAGGGTGCCGAAGGCACCCGGGTTCTGGGTGAGCGTCTGGATGAAGGCGGAGAGCGCCGATTGTACGTCGATGGTGAGAACCGGAGGGCTGACTTGGTCATCGCTCCGGTTTTTCTTCTTGGCTTCGATGCCGAGGCGGGCATCGGGGGCATTTTGTTGGATCTGAAGGCGTAGGTCGACAGCCACCTGTTTCAGCCCAGCGATGACACCGCCCTCGGGAGCCCTGTGAGAGGCTTCGGGGGCGTTGACGTCGCCGAGGGCTAGGTTCTTGTCTTCTACGTTTTTTGAGTTGGCACGTGTTGTCCTCACCATTTTGATAGAGGGCTAATGTTTTGTGTTTGGTCGAGGGGGAGGGTTTCTTACTCGATTGTTCAACCTCTCAACGAGAGCACCAAATGATGGATAGTCTACCCGGGGGTATATATCCGAAGGGTTATTGCGGGAAGTAACTTAGAGAGAAGTCAGAGCAAATAAGTAAAAGTAGAGAGAGAAAATGTATTATAAATGCGGAGTGTTTTCAGCGTGTTATGACTTGGTTACAAATGGGGAAAAGGGGTGCTATTTATAGTAGCAATAAATGCCGGGCAGGGACACGTGTCAAGCGCTCATTGGCCGAGGGGTCACCTCAACTGGTTGGCGCTGGCAGCCGCATGTGGCCGCATTTAATGCGGCTGTTGGATGGGACGTCTGTGCGGGGTACGGTGATCTGTACGCATGTGAGGCGGATATCTTGTTGAGTGAGATGCCTTCGTCCATAGAGCAGTAGCCGAGGGCTCTTCCACCCGATGGCACCCTGGTGCCGAGGGCTCACAGTGCCGAGGGCTACTGTTTTCGCCGTTTTCTCCCAGTTTCTTAGTTTGCTTGAGAAACCCGTTCTGTGAGAATTTAGAGCCTTCGGCCGGGGGGCCGAAGGCACCCCTGGCGCGTAGTGCGGGCTGCTTGGTACTCTGGGCGCTGTGATTTGGGCCTGTTGGGCCTTTGCTGGAGTAGTAGGAGTCTGTGGGCCGGGGATTCCCGGGCCATATACTCCATCAATGGTATTCTTGAATGTCAATTATCAAATACTTAAATATAATCTCTCTAACCGTTCTTTGTTAATTTCTTTGATATGTTATGCTCGTATTTGAATGAAAATAATGCTTAAATATTTTTTATGAACAAATATAAAAATCCACATGTTGTACTTAAGGTCTACTCTATATGTATCGCCCCAGGCCCATAAAATGTCAGGACCGAGCTTGGCAGCGGTGCCTTGCAAAGATTAAAGTCGGACACCCTACGTGACTTTTAAAGCCAGACAGAGATTCTAGATCTCTTACACCGAGTTTCTAGGTTTTCTTCATAGTTTCCTAGTTAGATTAACATGCATTTTAAAAAGCTAATGTTTTTTCACCGAAATATATTGTTTATACTATTGTTAACTAGGTAAATTATTATCATTATCACTCGAAGATATTAGAGTAATTGATAATGAAGAAACCTTTACTCAAGAAACCAGATCCCAAAAGTTGCTCACTTATACGTAGTAACTAAATATATGTACGGATCCTAGAATTTCTACTACTGCTCGATGTCACATAGCAAAACATAACTACGTTGTTTTGGTCCTTCAAAATTGACATCATCATGATGTACATATACAGTAGTAGTACTTAACGTAATTAGCTCTAATTTTCTCTTAATTACTATGTTCCACTTTACTTTAAATCTTGATCTAATTAATCATCCAGAAATCGACACCTCTGAAATCCACGGAAATGTCATCCAAACGCTCACCCGTCATCATTATTTCCGGGAGTTTATTTCCGTCGTCGCAATCTAACGGCGTTCGGTCGTCCGTTAACAAGGACGGCGACCAGAAATCTAACAGACCGTTGAGACTACATTCCTCCGCCGCCGCCTCTACGAAGCAATCCGTCACCAGCTTCATAGAGCCTTCTTCCTCCGCTTCGGTTTTGGTGGCCGCGTTAATTCGCGCCGTGAGAACGGAAGTTGGGGACGGAGCCATCTCGGATTCCCCGGTGGAGTCGTAGTTAGAGAGTGACGCGTCGGCGGGCTTCGGCGGCGGGGCAAGGAAATTGGTCATGGCGTCTGGTCCACGTAACTGGATCGCAGCGGTGTCGTAAACATAAGCCGCTTCCTCGGCGGTGTCAAAAGTGCCTAACCATTTCCGGGTTTTCCGAATCGGATCCCGAATCTCTGCCGCCCATTTTCCCCACGGCCGGCGCCTAACTCCCCTGTATTTCCGATCACCGGCATTCTTGATCACCATCTTGGTGGAGGTCGCCGTTCTGCCTCTCTTTTTTGTCTTTTCAACGGAAACACGACTCTTTTTAGTCTCAAGCCTGACCTTGATCACATGCTTCTTGTTAGTCCGCCGGCCAAAAGCCTCCTCCTCACCGGAGGAAGAATCTGTGGCGTCGTTATCGGTGACGAAAATCCGTACGATGCTAGGCATGTTGTGAGTGTTGAATCCACCCTCAAGCTTCTTCAGACTGACACTCTTCCCCTGTTCTTCACTCTGTATTTAAAAGGAGCTTCGTTTTTGTGATGAGGAGTGAAATAGTTGTAACGGAAATATGGAATTTAAGGGTGGTCAAGGAAGGGTTAAGGGATGCTATTGAATAAGTAAAGATTTAAGAGAGATTATTATGCAAATAAACCGGATTTATTTGACTAGGCGAGGGTAGTATAGCATGTTCTACTTAAACCGAAAATTGTTGGTCTGCTCTCAATTCATACGTTTGAATCTAATCTTGTCTCATAAACTTTTAGTCTCTGTATTTTATAATTATGTAAGTCTGATCTGGTTTAGTTTGATTCGATCTGGTTTACTTAAAAAGTTACGGAGTATAATGCATTGTAAGAAGTTAGCATTTTATGGGAGTATCTATTTTATAAGAGAAAATTAACCTAATAAGATTAAAATAAGGACATAGTTCATAAGCAGAACAAATATAATTTGATTTTCAAAATAGTACCCATTCCTCATATTTTGAGAAATTTCAATCAATTTATTCTTTTAATAAGACGAAATCAATCTAGTTTTAGAATTTTATTTATCTTTTCATCCTATATGGAGTAATTTTTGTTTTTATAACTACATGTATATACATATTGGCCATCATACTTGTTATTTTTGTAATAATTTAAATTTGAAATATTTAAAAAATGATGCCTCGTACATGTTAGTAATTAATTTAAAAATAACAATTAATAAAATAACAGATAACATTATCAAATATTTTTCTATATTTAGTCATACTACGTTCTTTTGGAATTTTATTGGAATTCGAGGGAAGGCGAAAGATTGATTGGGATTGATTAGGTGCGTTTGCCCTTTCTTGGCAGCCAAGTTAAACTTTTAGTGGTGGATAATGGGTAATGTATGTACACTGTGTAATGTGTAGTACTTCTATTTTGTTTAAACTTCCCATAAATTAGTATGTTCATTTGCGCTTTGAAACGATATACACTTTTTTGTGCAGATTTTAATTTTCAAATTAACTCCGCGCTTCCCTCTCCAAAACAAGTGGGGTCCACTGATTCTAGGGTTGACAATATCATTCTCACTTGCGGATTTCCGATCAATATGAATCGAAAATATGGATGAAATACGGGTAATATTGCATCCATCCAAAAATTTGATTGAGAATATGAACAAACTCTGATTTTATTGATAACCGTAACCTGATGCTCAATTTTCTGTGATTTAAAAACAGTCCCGTATGTTGCTCATTTGAGCTTCCTGCTATTGTGATTTAATTAATTAATTAATCATTCATTATTAAAAACTTGTAGTTAGATTTATGTATTGAGTATAATTAAAGTATTTTACAACCCCATTTCGAAAAATATTGTTGTTGTTTCTTGAGTATTTACCTAGGCTTTATCATTTAAATAGGAAAAGCCAAAAAAAAAACCGAGGCTCGGCCTGGACCCAAGGGTTACCCGGGCCGGTTCCAGGCCTCCCCTTCATGAACCGAGGCCCGGCCGGGCCCGAACCGGTCCATCCCTAAAATCTAGGGATGGAGTGGGTCAGTTCAGACTAACCCGGTACACAACCTGGACCACTACTGTGCAGTATTGGCCCAACCCGGCCAACCGAGATCAGGACCTCCGGGCCAATTTTTTTTATAGTTCTTTTGGCATTGGGCCGCTCTACTAGGTGGGTTGGGCTGGGTGTTTTGGTGGGGTTTGGGGGTGGGGTAGGAATAAATTAAAAAAGATTTGTTTAAAAAAAATGACCCGACCCGGTCCCAGTCCAAACCCGGGCCAATACCGAGCTTTCAGCCCAAATCCCCAGTCCCACCCAATCCCGAGCTGGGGCCCGATCCAACCCAGGCCTTGTCCAACCCTAATTAAATCACACAGATCGATTCCAAACCCAAAAAAAACACTACCTCCATCTCGATGGACTTTTACAAGTGCAAAGTAGAAGAGAAATAAGAATAGTAAAAACTTATGGTTGAGATTAGTGGGGTTTGGGAGTGGGGGTAGGAATAAATTAAAAAAGATTAAAAAAAAATGATCCCACCCGGTCTCGGTTCAAACCCAGGCCGATACCGGGCCTTCAACCCAAATCCCCAGTCCCACCCAATCCCGGCCTGGGGCCCGGCCCAACCCGGGCCTGGTCAACCCTAATTAAATCACAAAAATCGATACCAAACCCAAAAAAAATACTACCTCCGTCCCGGTAAAAGCAAGCAAGGAGATTAAGTTTCTTTATAAAATAAACAAAATTAATTAATTCCATGAAAAATAAAGCATGTGAAGCAAGCAATTATGTTTGGATGTTCAACCATTTGATTCATGGTTATCATCACATGGAAGCATACAATCACTTCTCAGGGCAGAAGAGTAATAATGGGATTCGAGTTCTTTAAGGGTAGCAGCAGCCTCCTCTCCAACCCTAGCTAATGCCCGGTCCGTCTTCTCGGCAAGTTGGTTGAATTCTTCAGTTCTTTGCTCCACATGGTCGTTTAAGGACGCAAATCCAGAAAAGATGGCCGTTTGTTTCAACTCCGAAACCAACTTTAGCAACGAGTCAGCTGCCTGAACCTGTGTGGTCATACATATTTGTTCATTGAAGAGATCTAGAACAACCACATGAATATTTAAACAACAAAGAAGAAAATCCACTCGAACCAAGCAGGGTTTATATTGTGCCTACAAAACTTCAACTATGCAAAAAAAAACTTGATCTTGGAAGAATGTCTAAACGAGCCCGTGGAGTGGACATAACTTTTCCTCTAAACCCCTATCACTCCGACTTTTCTTTTTGATCCCGTTACTTTTAAGAATGAACCTATAAGCCTTTAATGATTGATACTTATGTTTGTATTGAGAGTTATGTAAAGACCGACTGAGTGGATGGTGGAGACAGGAAATCAATTTTTGGAAGTGGGGGAGCGAGGCAGCAAAGAATGATTAGTTAAATTAAGGGGCCGACGCTTCATACTAGATTATCCATAAATTACAATTGGTTATAGTGTTATACACACAAAGAGATACATGCATGCAGTCTACTTTTCTCAGGATTTATATTCCAACCTAAAGAGCACTGATGATGGATGAGATTTCAATGGTCTCATACTCGCATAGAAATTTTTAAAGGAAAAAAAGCACCGTCAATGTGTATCGAAGCCATAAAGGAAAATGTGTCTCACCATTCTGGATGCTCGAACCTCCATCATGAAAGCTTCTTGGGAATTCCTAACTGGTGGATCATTTACCTATTATGTACATACATGAAAATCATCATACAGAAATAAGCCCCTTGAAGGTCCACAGTAACATACCTTGACTTCAGCCTCGAAGTAATTCTATCGCATCTAATATTTTATAAAAAATCTCTAATAATATGACATTATGACATCCCTTGAACCAAATGACCCCTAAGAGTAATGGAAATCCTACTTCATTTCATTTTCATTTACCCCAGTGCCGCAAAGGCTCCCACCTACGGAGGGGTAAGGAGGGGGTCGGATGTATGCAGTCTTACCCCTGTACTAAAGAGAGACTGTTTCCGGATGACCCATAGTAAAAATCCTGTCCAAAATTGCATGGACTGACTGCTTCATAACAAAGAAGCGCAAACCGTTTAGTGAGCCATTTTGCTTTATTCCATCATACTCTCAAGCTAAAAAATAATGAATCTTTGGCTCCATTGCAAATGATGGAAATCCTACTTATATTTTCAAAATTAATATGACATTCTTGAACTAAACGACCCCCAAGCTTACCATATTGAGTTCTTTTTACAACTTTATGATATTTGTTTGGGAAATTACCTAGAAAATGAGCTTCTTTTTTCAAAATCAGACTATTCTTTGGGATAAAAAAGCAGCTCTATTGGGATAAGGGAGTAACCAAACACCCTGATCCATTTTATCTCCCACTTGGTTCAATACAGAAAACAATTCAAAATATTTGGATACAGAGCAACTCCATCAATCATTATGGCACTACATTCAAATTTCCAACACACAGGTTGATTATCTTCAAGCGGACTTCGCGTTTGAGAACAAGAGGGAAAAAAAGAGAGGGAAGGAGCTATTACCCGGGCAACATTCACAATGAAGCTGAAATTGTCAACTATGCTTCCGATGTCATTATCAACCCTCTGCAACAAATTCTTCTGCTTCTGAGCGGCCGCTGTGGCAGCGGCGGCAGTGGGTCCGCCGCCTCCTCCACCGCCTCCGAGCCCTCCCTTATTCATTACTCTGTATTTTTATTAGTGTAATATAAGCCTGTCTTAGATCCTGAATTCAAAAAAACACGATGTGCGATTAGGGCTGCAAAAACATCGATAAAATTATATGACAGGTAAAGATAAAGATGACTCAAAGTGTTAAGACTGACCGATTGGTCAGGTGAACTCATAAAAGTTTTGACATTGTACATGGGAAAAATAATTAAAATACTCAAAATTTGAAGAGGTAAGTACTCCAAACTTATACTCCGTATATGTAATATATACACTCGAACTATATATAAAAAAGTTATCTTAGTACTATGATTATATTTTTTTTCTTTCACAAATAATAAGCCCCTTCAAGCTCCACAGTAGCATACCTTGACTTCAGCTTCTAAGTAATTCCATCACATCTAATATTTAAAAAATATCCCTAAAAATATGACACATTGACATCCCTTGAACCAAATGACCTGTAAAAGTAATGGAAATCCTACTTATATTTTCAAAATCAATTCATTACTAATAAGACATTCCTTGAACTAAACGACCCCCCAGCTTACCATATTGAGTTTTTTTACAACTTTATGACACTTCTTTGGCAAATTACCCAGAAAATGAGCTCCTTTCAAAATCAGACTATTGTTTGGGACAAAAAAGCTTCTCTTTTGGGATAAGGGAGTAACCAAACACCCTGATCCATTTTATCTCCTACTTGGTTCAATACAGAAAACAATTCGAAAATATTTGGATACAGAGCAAATCCATCAATCATTATGGCACTACATTCAAATTTCCAACACACAGGTTGATAATCATCAAGTGAACTTTGCGTTTGGGAACGCGAGAAAAAAAGAGGGAGGGAGCTACCGAGCTAGTACCAGAACAACATTGACAATGACGCTGAAATTGTCAACTATGCTTCAGATGTAGTTATAGACTCTCTACAACAAATTCTTCTGAGCGGCCGCTGTGGCAGCGGGTCCGCCAGCTCCTCCACTGCCTCCGAGCTCTCCCTTATTCTGATAAGGACCCGGCTAGTTTAACTAATAGAAATAGATTCTATGGGCAAGTCTATTCTAGAAAGTCAAAGTAGACTAGTTAGTTATTAGTTAGAGGAGTTGTTAGTAACTAATAACTACCTTCGTTTGTGAAGGTTATAAATAGAATAAGTCTGCAGAGGGAAGGTAGGCTTTTGTTAGTTCATTATCTGGGACTGGGAGTTGGAGTTCTTCTATCTCCTTCTTTGGGACAATCCTTGTACGGTTTACCTAAAGTGAATGAAAGCAGTATTTTCTTCTTTATTTTTTATTTCAATTATGTTAATTGAGCTAAGAACAAGGAGATCCTATCTTTGGTATCAGAGCGATTCGATCGCTGGATGAGAAATACGCGCGCCAAAATGGAAGGGAGAATTAACGATGTGGAACGAAGTCAGCGTGAGATGCAGGCGAGTGTGGATAATCTGGCGACGATGCAAGCTGCGATACAAGCTAGCATAGCAGATATACAGGTTCAGATCACTCGACGATCAAGGAGCAATTCGCAGAGATCGAATAATGCACATCGAGCAGCACCGCACCGGCAAGTGAGGAATGAAGACTCTTCTGGCGACTCGGACAATCCATCGAATCACACAGATTCGCGAATTGATTTCGAGCATAGGCGGAATCAGAGAAATAGTCCGAGAATGGGGAGGAAGATTGATCTACCTGTTTTCAAAGGGAAGGATGTCTGTGGTTGGATGTTGAGGATGAACCGGTATTTCCGGTTGAATAGAACTGCGGAAGAGGAGAAGTTGGACGTTGCAGTTATCGCATTGGAAGATCAAGCACTTAGCTGGTTCCAATGGTGGGAGAGACAAGCCATACACTTGAATTGGAACGCTTTTACTAAGGCATTGATCAGGAGATTTCAACCGGAAGTCGTGCAAGATCCTTTGGGACCTCTATTTAGTCTGAAGCAGAAAGGTTCTATCGCTGAGTATAGAAACTTATTTGAAACAACCATTTCCTCTCAGGAACATTTATCTGAAGAAGTGTTGAAGGGAGTATTCCTTAAGGGACTCAGGAGGGATATAAGAGCAGAGTTGAAGTTGTACACTACCCGGACGTTAGCTGAAATTATTGATACAGTTTCTTTGATTGAGAATAAGAACCTTGAAGCTGTTTTTATGAAGAATAAGGAGGAAAGTAAGAGGAAGAATCAGAACAGGGTTAGCAATCAATCTGCAGGACAGAATTGGAATGACAGTAACAAGTGGAGAAGTCATCCAGGAACCTCCTGGGAAATTTTCCTAAGGTGACAGTTGACAATAAAAGCAACCATGATGTGAAGGAACAGATGATGAGGAGACAGGGACCTAGACTATCCCAAGAGGAATTACTGGAGAGGAGTAAAAAGGGCCTATGTTTCAAATGTGGGGAGACTTGGGGAAGAGGACATGTGTGCAAAATGAAGAATTACAAGATGATCCTAGTGGAAAATTCTGAAGGAGAGGAAAATTATGAAGTGGAATATGAAGATTTAGAAGGGGGCCAGAACAATACTGCAAATCAGATGGATATGAATAACATGCAGCTATCCATTTTGAGCAGAGAGGGCATTTCTTCCATGACAACTTTCAAAGTGAGAGGGAAGTTGAAGTGGCAGGGAGAAGAGAAGGAAGTAACTATCCTTATTGACAGTGGGGCAACTCATAATTTCATGTCCAAGGGGCTGGCAGAAAAGTGGAATATTCCTTATAATCCAATCAAAGGATATAAGGTGCAAATAGGAAATGGGGATCATATTCCTAATCTGGGCCAATGTACTGAAGTGGATATCAATGTACAAGGAGTAGAAATTCTTCAAACCTTCTATGTATTGGAATTGGGAGGAATTGATTTAGTTTTGGGGATGGAATGGTTGACTGAACTTGGGGATATGGAGGTCAATTTTAAACAGCAAATAATCAAATGGAAGAAGCAGGGTACCACTTGTATGATAAAAGGCAACCATGTAGCAAATCAGATGGAGGTTTCCATGAAAACTATGGCACATATTCTTCAACAGGTGGGGGATGGTTATTTGTTGTACTATGAGGGACAACAGGGGATTCAAGAACAGAACAGTGATGGAGGAGATTGGGAAGGGTTAATTACAGAATTTCCAGAGGTATTCACTGCAAACCTGAAATTTCCACCTGCCAGAGACTGTGATCATGCCATCAATATCAAAGAAGGAGCAGATATCCCTAATATCAGACCATACAGGTATTCTTTTGATCAGAAGAATGAAATTGAGAAAATCATAGCTGAAATGTTGAAGGCTGGAACAGTAATAGCCCTTATAGTAGCCCCATACTCTTAGCTAGAAAGAAAGATGGAGGCTGGAGGTTTTGTGGAGATTATAGGGCTTTGAATAAGGTGACCATACCTGATAAGTTTCCAATTCTAGTAATTGAGGAACTGCTGGATGAGTTAGGTGATGCCAGAATCTTTTCTAAGCTAGATCTTAAAGCTGGATATCATCAGATCGGAATGAAGGCAAGTGATACTCATAAGACAGCTTTTAGGACTCATGAAGGGCATTATGAGTACCTAGTGATGCCTTTTGGGCTGACCAATGCACCTTCAACTTTCCAGTCTCTTATGAATGAGGTGTTGAGACCTTTTCTGAGAAAATGTGCTTTAGTGTTCTTTGATGACATCTTATTCTACAGTAAAACTAAGGATGATCATAAAGAGCACTTGAGAAAAGTTCTGGGAGCTTTACAAGACAACCAATTGGTAGCAAATATCAAGAAGTGTTCATTTGGAAAGGATCAACTGAGTTATTTGGGACATATAATATCTGCAGAAGGGGTGGCAGCTGATCCTGAGAAAATTGTAGCTATGAAGGAGTGGACCATACCCAGAGATTTGAAGGAATTGAGGGGCTTCCTAGGGTTGACAGGGTACTACAGAAGGTTTGTAAAAGGGTATAGCAAGATTGTTGCACCTCTGACTCTTTTACTCAAGAAGGATGGGTTTAAATGGGGAGATGAAGCTACTAAAGCATTCAATGAATTGAAGGAGGCCATGACTTCATTACCTGTTTTGAGGGTACCTGATTTTTCAAAATTATTTGTGATAGAGACAGATGCTTCTGGAAGAGGTTTGGGTGTTGTACTTATGCAGGAAGGGGGTCCTATTGCCTACATGAGCAAGGAACTATCACCTAGACAATTGACTAAATCAATATATGAAAAAGAACTTATGGCAATTGTGTTTGCCATTCAGAAGTGGAGACCTTACCTTCTTGGAAGAAACTTTGAGGTTCATACTGATCAAAAAAGTTTGAAACATTTGACTGAACAGAAAGTAATGGGAGAAGACCAACAAAAGTGGATAGCTAAACTTATGGGATACAACTTCATCATTAAATATAAACCAGGGATTGAGAACAAAGCTGCAGATGCCCTATCCAGAAAAGCTTCTTTTACAGCCCTTTCAACAGTTACTTGCCAGGAATGGGAGGGTTTGGGAGAAGAACTTGAGAAGGATCCTAGATGGGGAGAAATGATTCAGAAGATAATGATACAGCCTGGTATGTGTATGGATTACAAGATGAAAGGGGGGCTCCTATACTACAAAGGGAGGCTGGTAATACCTAAAGGATCCCACAGAATTCAGGTTATTATGAAGGAATACCATGACTCTGCAGTAGGTGGCCATTCTGGATATTTCAGAACCATGAAGAGGATCACATATTTATTCTTCTGGGAAGGGATGAGAGCAGACATTAAAGACTACATTCAAGGTTGTGAAATCTGTCAAAGAAACAAGTACCAGGCATTGAAACCTGCGGGGTTGCTACAGCCTTTACCCATCCCAGACCAGGTGTGGTCTGATATTAGTATGGATTTCATTGGAGGTCTTCCAAAATCACAGGGAAAGGACACTATTTTAGTAGTGGTGGACAGACTGACAAAATTTTCACATTTTATACCATTGGCCCATCCTTTTAATGCTAAGGGAGTAGCTGAAGTTTTTGTACAGGAGATTGTAAGGATACATGGATTTCCCAAATCCATTGTTAGTGACAGGGATAGCATTTTCCTGAGTTCTTTTTGGTCTGAGCTTTTTAAAATGGCAGGGACAAAACTTAAATACAGCACAGCTTATCATCCCCAAAGTGATGGGCAAACTGAAGTGGTGAACAGATGTCTAGAGACTTATTTAAGGTGTTTGAGTGGAAGACAACCTAGACAGTGGATGAAATGGCTTCCTTGGGCTGAATACTGGTTTAACACTAATTACAACTCTTCCTTAAAGGGGACTCCCTATCAGGCCTTATTTGGACAACATCCTCCTGCTATCATTAGAGGAGATGTTGCCCTATCTGCCATAGATGAAGTGGCCAAATTGACAGCTGAAAGGAATATTATGTTGACAAAACTGAAAGACAATCTGGCCAGAGCTCAGAATTTGATGAAGCAACAGGCTGATAAACACAGGAGGGAAGAGATACTGGAAGTAGGGGATAAAGTGTTTCTCAAAATACAGCCCTATAAGATGAAAAGTTTAGCTAAGAAGATCAATCAAAAGCTAAGTCCAAGATTCTATGGGCCCTATGACATTGCAGAGAAGATTAGTCTTGTAGCTTTCAAACTCAAATTACCAGAGGGGAGTAGAATTCATCCTGTATTTCATATATCATTGTTGAAGAAGGCATTGAAACCAACAGTGACTTATCAAAACCTCCCAGTTTGCCTCACAGAAGATTGTGAGCTGCAAGTGAGACCTGAGGGTGTGAAAGGTATCAGGATAAATCAGGAAGGGAAGAAGGAGGTCCTTATCCATTGGAAGGAACTTTCTGATTTTGAAGACTCATGGGAGGATATTCAAGTCATACAGGAGCAGTTCCCTGAATTCCAACTTGAGGACAAGTTGGTAGTTCAAGAAGGGGGTATTGATAAGGACCCGGCTAGTCTAACTAATAGAAATAGATTCTATGGGCAAGTCTATTCTAGAAAGTCAAAGTAGACTAGTTAGTTATTAGTTAGAGGAGCTGTTAGTAACTAATAACTACCTTCGTTTGTGAAGGTTATAAATAGAATAAGTCTGCAGAGGGAAGGTAGGCTTTTGTTAGTTCATTATCTGGGACTGGGAGTTGGAGTTCTATCTCCTTCTTTGGGACAATCCTTGTACGGTTTACCTAAAGTGAATGAAAGCAGTATTTTCTTCTTTATTTTTGATTTCAATTCTGTTAATTGAGCTCAGAACAAGGAGATCCTATCATATTCATTACTCCGTTTTATTATTAGTGTAATTAAAGCCTATCTTAGATCTTGAATTCAAAAAACACACGACAGGCGATTAGGGGTTGCAAAAACATCGATAAAATTATGTCACAGGTAAACCTAAAGACGACTCAAAGTGGTAAGACTGACTGACTGGTTAAGTAGTAACAATGTCTGGGCATACTCATAAAAGTTTTGATATTGTTTAAAGTACCCCAAACTTTGTAGAGGTGTGAGGTAAGTACTCCAAACTTATATATGTAATATATGCACTCAAACTTTTTATGCTCAATAGATTGAATTTGGTCAATTTATGTATCATACACAGAATAGAGCGTAATATGATTGGAAAATATAAAAAATCAATTTATAGCTGCACTAAATCAGATATTTGGATGAGTGAGCTCGAATGTAAATTGAGTATGAATGAGCTTCTAAAAAGAATTTGGAGTAGAATGAATGTATAATCCAATATATCTAAAGAATCATACATTAAAAACTTGCAGAGGAAGAATCCAGATTGTTGTACAAGCCTTTGTGCCGTGCTTATTGTGAGATTTCCACTCATTATAGCAAAATTATATTCCATATGTGCTGCATAGTATAACATACGTATGTTACTCCCACTTTGTTAAAAAGGAAGATAAATCATATATTTGAAGAGAACTAAAGAGAAACGGGATTGTCCTATGCGAACCTCATGGTGGCGTAGCATGATCTATTATACATCAGATTGCAAAAAAACAAGTAATCTGTTAATTTCAAAGCTGTAAACACGGAGGGAAGTAAACTAAACTTGAGGAGATTCTGATTAACATTCAAGTTTGTAGACAATAATAAACATGGAGTATAACCACTCTTACGAGCTGTGTGAGAAGAACCATGCTACTATTTGATTGAAGATAGACTGGAGGAGAATATGCAAAGAGAGAGGGAGAGAGCAGGCCAGTGTGAAGAGAATATCAGATGCGTAGCTGAGAGTGAAATTATTCGATTACCACAACCACCAGACTGGACGAGTGTAAATATGGGTCGGATTTTACACGGGTTGGATTTTATATGGGTCGAAATCAATTAGGGTGTCCAAACTTCCAAATAATGATGGTTTTTGACAGACCAAATAATGATGTTATGCTACATATTTACAAAATGAATATATAAGTATCCCACAAGTATATTAGGAAGTTCTGTTTTAAGTTTTTCAGTGGCACAATACGATAGAGGTGTATGGGCGTAGCCAGGACGGATGTTTACCCTGGGTCGACAATACACTAAAAAACATTAAATAAAAAATTTAAAAGCGACAATAATAGTGTGAACATAATGATTAAAATCCATTAAAATTCATAGTAATATTTTTTAAACAATACATACAATGTTCGAAACTAAAAGGTTAACTGAACACGACGCTCTTTGACCTTAGCAAACTCATCTATGACAGAATCAACGTCGATTTTGTTGGCAAATCCCTTTTCAATAAAGATGGTCAAACGATCAGCAAGAAATTCATCTTTCATCTTGTTACGAATTTCATTCTTCACAAGTTTCATTGCAGAAAATGATCTTTCTGTTGTTGCAGTCGAAACGGGTAAAGTCAATACAAGATGAATTAATCTTGTAACCATTTTGTAATCAATTCAATAACATTTCCACGATTGAGAGATGTTTCAGACTCATCATGACCCCTAAATGCACAACCTTGTAAAGCTAACCACAAAATACTTTTAATGGTTGTTCTTACACGCAAACGATTTTTCACCACTTCTTTACCGATCCTAGCAATGACTTTGTCAATATGTTGACTTGGTTTCATTAAGGAGTCGACAGAAGTCACACTCTGATTATGAGGTGATGAAGGGGATGAACCAACATGCATAAGAAACACACATTCTTTACCTTGATGAACTCGTTTCCAACTATCAAAACCAATACTCACTAAAGCCGAAACACAAGAGGAATTCACAACATCACTGAAGAGAAAGCATGGAAAACAATATGCCTTATGTGTTGTTGGAGAGTATTCCAACCAATTAAATTCATTGAACCAATTGGCTTGAAAACGGCGCATCCTATCTTTGTAAACTCGGCCTTTGTAAAAGTTCAATTTTGGTTGATAAGGTCCAAGCATCAAATAAGATCGTCTAATTTCATCTCTTTTCTCTAATGGCCAAGCATTTATCTTTTTACGCTTTCCCGGATCCCGCTCAATTTAAAGTGCATCAGAAATTACTCTCTTGAACGGATGAGATATTAGGAGTTTCAATTGAGACATTTAACTCTTGTCTACTTTGTGTGCTTGTACTGGGCTTATAAAACGAACGCAATGTGATTTTTGCTTTTTTGGAAGTAGATTGAGTAGCCATACCTACTAAAATTAACAAAAAAATAAAAAACTAATCAATACTTTATTTTAATTCATATAATTCAAAAAAATATTTGTCATTCCTAAATCCTAATTTTCTATTTCACGATTCAAAGCACACAAATGAATTGACACATGGATTTACTAACACAAACTACAATAACAAATAAAATACTTAAATTAAACTAAAAATTGTAAAAATAAAAAATTGAAACCCCTAATTACCTCAACTTCTCGAGGGACTCAAGAGAACTGGAGTCTGGAGACTGGAGAGGCAGGTTAGCAGTTGCGACTTGCGATCCGAGAGGCGGAGGCGCGGGCGAGCGGCGGAGGCGCGGGCGAGCTGCGGAGGCGCGTTGCGATGCACGGCGGAGGCGGCGACCGTCTGGTTCTTCGCAGGCTGCGCTTGATTTCTCCTCTGCGGCTCTGCCTTTGCTCATGCGTTTCTTCAGCCTTCAGCGTGCGTTCGTTTCTTTCTGGATTAGTGGAGCTGTGGAGTGGATTGTTAATGTGTACTGGGCCATACACTGGGCCAGTATTATTTTTGCACTGGGCCAGATCTAAAAAAAATTTAAAAAATCATACTACGATTTGTTCCATAAAAGTTGCAACGGTTTAACTTTCATGTTTGGCAACGCGTAACTTTGACTGTATTTATATTTATTTACGTATTAATAAACACTAAAAAAGTTAATATATTAGAAATTTACATTAATACAAATTTATTAATATTTTATACTCTCTCTGTCCCCTTTTAAATGTCCCATTTTACTATATTGGGATGTCCCTATTTAATTGTCTCATATCTTATTTGGTAAAGTTTGTGTGGCTCAAAATCATTCTTACTTTATTCTTAACTTTATCAATTACTATCAACCACACAAACTCACTTTTCTTAAAACTCGTGTCACCCTCTTCCGGGACATTTAAAAGGGGACGGAGGGAGTACATAATATTTTTATTATATATATTATTAGAAAATCGTAGTCAAAGTAAGGTGTGTGAATAGTGCAGAAATTCCAATGTTGCAACTTTTATGGAATGAAGGAAGTATATATATAACAAAAAAAGCCCTGGGTCATGGCCCAGCCAGGCCACCCCTCCCTCCGCCCCTGGTGATAGAGGTGTATGGGCGGCCGCTCCCATTAGGTAGGGTTTTTCTTTCCGCCGATCGTTGAGATTAGGCGGTTTGCACGTAGCGTTGATCACTCTTCGGCGTTCTACTATGGTACGGACGAGCACGAAGAGTCGGGCAGCGGGTTTTGTAGGTGGATAGAAATAGTGAGGAGATGGCATCGACGATCGTAAGACCAATGAGAAAGTGGATCAGGCAATGCAGCGGTTTGGAGGTCGGGTCTGAGGATTACGAACTAGTACTCGATGAGAAAGACGTTGTGGACCACATGGAGCAAAAGTTTCCGGTGGCTTGTCCCCCTCTTGAACCACCGTCATGGAATGCAGGAGAGTCTAGGATTTGGAAGAATATGAGTGAACTCTGTTTTAATTTCGTTTTATTTTGTTTGTGTTTTTATTTCAAATTGCATGTTATTTTGGGTATGTTTTTATTTCCCAACAGAAAAATTCTAAAATTTAAATCATGCGACGAGAAGTCTGATTTGTCAGTCATTGTCTCAGCTAAGTTTCTACGGAGGGTGATAGTTTCTAATTATGATTCGAAGGCAGACGATATACCTCTTTATCATTTTGTAACTTGCTTAAGTTTTGTTATTTTAATATAAGTCATTCTTCCAAAATATTAAAGCAGTTTGACATCAATAAAGTTGATTGAAGTTGGTTAAATTCGGATTGAATTGAATTAATTGACCTATGAGTATGAAATTTAGGGATAAACAGTGTACTTGGTTTGTGCACAGGTGCAAAAACGTCATTTCGAGGCGTTTTTTTTTGTACACGTGTGGCGCTTTATGGCGCCTCTAATGAATAGTGCCGCAACGTGTTTTTAGAGGCGCTTCTCTGCAAAAAGGGCCTCCAATTTTTTTTATATATTTTTTTCGCTTTGCGTGCGGCGCTTCTTTGTTAAAAAACGCCTCTAAATTTGAAAATCTTTGTGACGCGTGCGGCGCTTATTTGATCACAAGCGCCTCTTAATTTCAAAATCTTTGTGACGCGTGCGGCGCTTATTTGATCAAAAGCGCCTCTGAATTTGAAAAACTTTTAGAGGCGCTTTATAGGTTGAAGCGCCTCTGAAATTTTATTTAATCAAAAATATTTGTATTAAAAATTTAGCTAGATGCCCTGTTTATAATACGTAAAAAGACATAAAACTAACTCCATACAATCAAACATATCCGATAAAAACAGTACCATATCATCTATAAAAACGCATAATGCACAATCAAATACGTGTTTAATTAAACATCCAATCAACATTCATACATTACAAAATTTCATACATTACAAATTGTTTGGCTAAATAGTTTTTTCTCAACTTTGCAATACAACATCCAGAAAGTATCTTGACCATACATTTCTGATATCATTGAACTCTGCTAATGTGTATGGTTCACTTCTTGAACGCCATACCTGAAATGTATTGAAATGATCACAAATATATTTCACTTTAATTACAATACAATATATATATATATAATAACTTTGCAAACTCACAATTTATTCATACCTTTCCAATATCATGATTTTCAGAGTATGATATTATTTCCCACATGAATCTCATGACATAATATCCACATTCAGTACTTTCGGTTTGTTGTGCAACCTGTATAGTTCACATCACACGTATAATAAATCAAAATTCCATTTCAAGATTACTTTCCTAAGATTAATTGTAGGATAGAGAGGATGTAACATACCTTCACACTATTCCATTTAATTGGCTTACCGCTACCTTTTTGTGCAGATGCAACCCTGTACATTCTACAAATTCAAACAAACATTATGTTTTCATATATACTAATATTAAAACATATTAATATGTAAATTAAGTTTATTCAAACAAATATATAATACTAACGTTGTTAAGTCTCTTTGAATACTAATGCTAGAACTCGAAATGGAATCAAAAATATATCTCTTATCGATCATAGGGCAAATCACAAGCAGAATCCAATGATACCTATATTGTATAAAATAACACAATAAATAAATAACGTATCACAAGAATTATTTCAATGGAAATATATTGTATATGTTTTACCCTTCATGGTATGGAAGGAAAATGAATGACTTTTCAAAGGACTTTATCAAAGCATGTTTCAAGTAAGTCATTGTGCCCTTTTTGTCCAATTTATAATGTTCAGAAGAGCACAGGTGAGGGCACAAAAAGCCAATATCGTCACGGCCAAGCTCAACTAACTTTTCTTTTAAACAACTGCACATACATAAATACTATCACACTTCGAGCACCTAAAAACATTTACTTAATTTAAAAGTAATGTATATTGAATACTTACACCAAGAAAGTCTGAATGATACAAATCTCAAGTAAGTCCCCCTCAAGAAACCGAGACAACTCATCACGATCAATTGTAGCCCCAAACGGACGATTTTCCTGAAAACAGAACACATCTGTAAAAAAATGGACAGAGAACTTACAATTTTCAAGTTCAAACCACTGCAATGCCTCATGCAACTCCAAAACATCATCTGTAAGAGTATCAAGTATGCTCTCACTGACTAACGGGCATATAGAAGGTGCAACCGTTACTTTTGGAGGATCTCTCTCAACAAATGGGGTTTGCTTCTTCTTCATCTCTTTTTTTTTTGTGTTGAAATTGTGGTTCCTAAAAACAATTCAACAACAAACACGATACACATATAAATATATACATAAATTACACTTAATAAGATAGTATAAGGTTACTACTATTTAGCTACCTCCCCCTCAAAAATCACCAACCGAGCTGGCCACTGAACAAAGGAACCCACATCATCCGCTATAACATACATATCAACTGATTCATTTGGAAACAACAAGGCACACTGATCACAACCTGGACATGGCATTGATATGTTCACTTTAATTGTTTTATCAGACATCGATACATTATGAATCAAAGCACCAACTGGTGTGTTGTAAGCTACAGCTACGGCCACATAATCCAAGCTCATATCACCATTAACAGTTTGTGACTCAACAGCCAGCCTACAATTTGCACCATCCTGCATGAATTTCCACATGCAATTAAAGATTTACATTGCATAAAAGACTTAATATCATATACTCCCTCCGTCCCAAAATTAATTTCTCATTCACATAGTAAATTTATTTTATTCTTACTCACAATGAAAGATTTATGTGGAATATCAGCTGTGGAGTTCATTGTATCAACTTGACCTGACTCAGAAGCTTGCGTTGATCTCATGGTAGGTTGTTCACCTCTAGGAACAAAGTAGTGATGCATATCTTTCAACCATCTCTCTTGCAACTTTTTCAAATCATCCTCACTCAAATTACCCACTTTATCACGCCGTCCACCTCTACGCTCTGCTGCAAACACTCGAGTATAACCCACACCACCACCAATGCCACGTGCACGGCCAGGATAGTCAGGTTTCCCTACAACCTCAGTCAAAATATCATGTCGTCCAATTGGCTACCATTTCCCTGCAACTTTCAAATCATCAATAAGCGGTGCAAGGTACACATCAATGTCATTACCCGGTTGTTGAGGTCCCGAGATAAGCAGAGACAACATGATGTACTTGCGTTTCATGCACAACCACGATGGCAAATTATAGATAACCAATAAAACTGGCCAGGTGTTGTGCTGACCGCTAAGCGTACCATATGGGTTCATACCATCTGTGCACAGACCAAGTCTCAAATTTCTGTCCTCTCTACCAAATTCCGGATATTTAAGGTCAATTTGTCTCCATTGCGGTGAATCAGATACATGACGCAAGTACTCATCCTTCTTCCTACCCTGAGCATGCCAAATTAGATGTTTGGAATCCTTTTCATTCATGAATAACCTTTTGAATCTAGGAATAATTGGAAGATACCACAGAACTTTGGAAGGAATTTTGGAATCAGCTTCTTCATGAGCAGCATTTGTACTCCTTTTCCTTTTATAACGTGAAAGGTGACACGTTGGACATTCATCAATGTTTTCATGCTCATTTCGGTAGAGAACACAATCATTGGGACATGCATGAATTTTCTTCCACTCGGTTCCCATAGGACACAATATCCTTCTAGCCTTATATGTTGTATCGGGAAGTGTGTTCCCCTCAGGCAACATCTCTTGAAGTAATGTCAAGAACTCTGTGAAACTCACATTACTCCATCCATATTTAGATTTCAAATGGAACAACTTCAACACCGCAGACAACTTGGTGAAGCTTGAAGTAGAATACAAAGGTATTCTGGCGCCATCAACCATACTTTCGTATGAATTTGGTTGATGCTCAAAACTTTCATGCACATCTTTTAAAAGATCATCAATTAGATCAACATTGTATTCATTGCCATCATTAGTAGTGTCATTTTGATCATTTGAGGCGTTGGCAATGTC